AGCAAGATGCAATTCATAACCCCCAACTTGCCCAAGGCAAATCAAGGGGGCAGTGAGGTAAACAAAATCAAAAGCCACTCAGCAGAATTTTATGAAATAGTAGCAGCAAAAGTAACAAAACAGATGAATAAGTCTCTTCACAAAACCAAAACAAAGATAATTTAAGAGATGGTAACTATAATGAAGGAAATGGTTAGTGAATCGAAAGTAAATACAGGGCTGGGGATTTAGCTCACCAGCAAAGCGCCTGCCTGGCAAGGTCGTGAGTTCAGTTCCCGGTACCGGAGAAAACCAAAAAAAAAAAAAGAAAGTAAATACAAATAAAAAAAAATGGGCCAGGCGTGGTAGTGCACGCCTGTAATTCCAGCACTGAGGAAGCTGAGGCAGGAGGATCGTTACGAGTTCGAGGCCAGCCTAGGCTACAAAATGAGCTCAAAACCAGCCTGAACTGCATAGCAAAACCCTGTCTCAAAAAGAAAAAAGAAAAAAAGAGTAGCTTAAGAAAGACAGGGGCAGCAGCACGGCACCTGCCTGACAAGCACAACATCCTGAGTACCATTACTGATACCAAGGAAAAAAAAAAAAAGGGAGGAAGACATGGAAACCATGAATGCCCAACATATAAAACAACTGGATTCCATAAAACAGACTAAAATAGAAATCCACATCTGTGGTGCACAGCTGTAACACCATTACTCAGAGGCTGAGGCAGGAGGATTACTTTGAGTTCAAGGTCAGCCTGGGCTGGACAGTGAATTCAAAGCCAGACTGAACTACACAGGAAAAACCTATATTAAAAACAAATAAATGAACAGAATAGAATACACATTCTTCTCAGCAGCCCAAGGGACTTTCTCCAAAATAGATCACATACTAGCTCATAAAATTTTCTTAAGTAAATGCAAGGGAATTAAAATTATCCATGCATATTATTAAATCATAATGCAATGAAACAGGAAATCAATGGCAAAAGAAACCATAAAAACTACATAAATGTAAGGAAATATAGTAACACCCTCCAGGGCTGGGGATTTAGCTCAGCGGCACAGTGCTTGCCTGGCAAGTGTAAGGTCGTGAGTTTGATTCCTGGTACCGGAAAAAAGCCAAAAATAAATAAATAAATAAATAAAATAAAATAACCCCCTCCTCAACAACAGACAAAATTAAAGAGGAAATTAGGTAGCTGGGGATTTAGCTCAGCCGCACAGCGCCTGCTTGGCAAGCACAAGGTTGTGAGTTCAATTCCCGGTACCGGAAAAAAAAAAAAGAGGAAATTAGTTTCTACAATTAAACAATAATGCCAATACAACAATCCAGAACTTATGAGATGCAATGAAAGCAGTCCTAGCTGGACATGGTGGTGCATACCTGTAATCCTAGCACCTGGGAGGCTGAGGCAGGAGGATCACTGTGTATTTGAGGTCAGCCTGGGCTACATAAGTGAATTCAAGGGCAGACTATATTACATAGTAAGACCCTGCCTTAAAAAAAAAAGAAAGTAGTCCTATGAGAAAAATTTACAGTGAACTCCCAAGCAGAAAAAGAGTAAGCTCAAATAAATAACCTAATGTGGAATATCAAGCTTTTAGAAAAAGAAGAGCAAGTTAAAACCAAAGCACAGTATGGCGGTAGCGCATACCTGTAATCCCAGCATTCAGGAGGCTAAAGCAACAGGATTGCCCAAAATTTAAGGCAAGCCTGGACTACACAGTGACACCTGTCTCAAAAAAAAAAAAAAAAAAAAAACTAAAACCAAAACCAAAATTATATATGAGGGAGGAAATTATAAAGATCAGAACAGAAATTAATGCAACTGAGACTAAAAACACAAATAATCAATGACTTGAAGAGCTGGTTCTCTGAAAGATGAAATAAAGTAAGTCTTTAGCCAATCTTATCAAAAAATGGAAAGAAAAGACCTAAATCCATTCCAAATAATTACGAATGAAAAGGGCAAAAATCACAACAGATCTTACAGAAATACAGAAGATCATCAATATGTACTTTGAAAACCTGTATTCTAACTAGATGGAAAACTCAAAAGAAATAGATTTCTAGACATATATGAATTACCAAAGGTGAATTAAGAAGATATAAAAATTCTAGGCAACCCATTTGAGACCCCTTCTGTCTCACAGGAACTATTCCTACTCCCCATTCCCAGTCTCCAATAAATTGTCCTACTTAAAAAAAGATATAAAAATTTTAAATAACCCAGTATCAGTTAATGAAATTGAAGCAGTAATAAAAAAACAACTAATGGAAACCATGGTGCACACCTGTAATCCCAGCACTCAGAAGGGTGACGCAGGAGGATCACCTACAGTTAAGGTTAGCCTGGACTACACAGGGAAACCTTGTCTCAAAAAAACAAAAACTACCAACAAAGAAAAGCCCAGGTGCTAATGGATTCACTGCTGAATTCTTGAACAACTTTATAGAGAGCAAATGTCCCTATTCCTCAAACTCTTTAATGAAATTAAAAGGGAAGCCATATTCCCAAACTCATTCCTGGAAGCAAGCATTACCCTAATACTAAAACCAGAGGGGGATCGAACCAAAGAAGAGAACTACAGGCCAGTCTCAATGAACATACAGCAAATGTCCTCAATAAGATACTAGCAAACAGAATGCAGCAAACTATCAAAAAGGTTATACACCATGACCAAGTAAGATTGATCCCAGGGATGCACAGATGGTTCAACACACAAATCAATAAATTTAATACACCACATTAACAGAACCAAGGAAAACCACATTATCATGTCAACAGACACAAAGCATTTGACAAAGTCCAATACTTATTCTACAGGATAAAAACCCTACACAAAATTGGAATGTAAGATCTTTATCTCAATCTGATAAAAGCCCAACCAACCAACAGCCAACATCATACCAAATGGTCAAAAACTAAAATCTTCACTCTGTTACCACTCCTGTCTAATAAAGCTCTAGAAACATTTGCCGGAGCAATTAGATAAGAGGAAAACATAAAAGGAATAAGGATGGGAAAAGAAGTTAAATTATCATTATATGCTTATGACTTGATACGCTACACAGAAGATCCCAAAAACTCCATCAAAAGACTCCTAGAATTAATAACCAAAGCATAGCAGGATATAAAGTCAACACTAAAAAATAAGCAGCAGTCCTGTACACAAATAAACTTACTGAGAGAGAAATCAGGGAAATAACACCTTTCACAATAGCATCAAGAAAGATGAAATTCTCAGGAATCAATCTAACAAAGCAAGAGAAAGACTTTTACATTGAAAACAACAGTACTCAAAAAGAAGATCAAAGAGGCTATCAGAAAAAAGGAAAAAAAAAAAGGAAAAAGGAAAGATATCCCCTGTTCTTAGATAGGCAGAATCAATACAGTACAGCCATACTACCAAAACTATTATACATATTTAACGTAATACCAATCAAAATACCAATAGCATACCTCACAGAACAACCTAAAATTCATATACAACCAGAAGAGACCTAGAACAGTGTTATGGTTTGTGTCTAGCTGTCCTCCCAAAGCCTCATGCAGTCATGGGTACAGGCTTCTAGAGTTTATGATTGATTCATGGTCCAATGCTGGGATTCTGGGGTGAGTGCTCCACCTGCCCTGGGGCAAGTAGCTTGCACACAATATAAGGCAGGGAAAGAGGCTTGCTCTCTCCTCCTCCCTTTTTGTTCTTGCTGCTTTTGCTGTTTTCTGCCACCATGAATTGCTGCCTTCTGCCTGAGCCACTCTGCCTTAGAGCCAGCTGATTATGGATTGAAACCTCCACAAACCGTAAGCTAAATAAACCTTTCCTTCCTAAATTCTGGGTGTCGAGTTTTGTCCCAGTGAAACAGTAAAGTAACCAAGATAAACAGCAAAAGCAATTCTGGGCAACAAGGGCAAGGCAGGGGGCATCACAATCCCCAATTTGAAATTATACTACAAAGCCACCATGATTAAAAAGAAAAAAAACAGCATGATACTGACAAAAAAAAAAAAAAGACTTGGGCTGGGTATAGCTCAGTAGCACAGTGCCTGCCTGGCAAGCGCAAAGTCCTGAATTTTATTTCTGGTACCAAAGGAAAAAAAATCCAGACCTGAGGATCAGTGGAATACAAGATGTAGAAACAGCTCCAAATATACTCAATAACCTCATCTTTGACAAACAGGCCAACCACCTTCACCGAAAGAAAGGTAACCTATTTAATAAATGGTGCTGGGAAAACTGGTTTTCAACACACTGAGTACTGAACCTAAGCTCATACCTCTTCCGATACTCTAAAACTAAAATCAAAATAAATCAAAGATCCAAATATAAAAGTGAAACAATATCCTGGAAAATAGAACAAGCAAAACTCCTGAAGACACATGTGTAGGCAACACCTTAATAACAAAACCCTAACTGTACAGCTACATAGCGAGACCCTGCCTCAAAAAGACAGAAAGAAAGAAAGCTAGCTTTCTGAGGCAGGGCCTCGCTATGTAGTTTAGGCAGGTCTTGAACTCACTTTGTAGCCCAGGCTGATCTGGAACTCACAATGATCCTCCTGCCTCAATCTCCTGAGTGCTGGGATTACAGGTGTGCGCCACTACGCCGGGCAATAAAAAGCTTTTGTACAGCAAGGAAACCACCAACAGAGTAGAGATAGCCCACAGAATGAAAAGGAATTTTTTTTTTCTTCATGAGATGGGATTTTGGTTATGCAGTTCAGGCTGGCCTTGAGCTCACTTTGTAGCCCAGGATGGCCTTGAACTCACAGGGATTGTTTGGAATTCAAGACCAGCCTGGGCTACAAGGTGAGCTTAAAGCCAGCCTGAACTGCATAGCAAGACCCTGTCTCAAAAACACTAAAAAAAAAAAGATATATTAGGTACAGGTACAAATCCTCTATGATGAACCTGATCAATATGTATAACAGATATGTACTACAAAAAAGAAAAAAAGATCAAAAAGTTGTTTTTTGTTTTTCTGTTGTGTGTGTGTGTTCCCTTCATAAGTTACCTCTGACAATCGAGGCACAATGTGGTCATACAGGCAGGGCAATTCAAGACAGCATCACTATTTGGAACCGGCTGCTGTTGCTGACGTGGCCTCTGTAGTCCAAAACCATGATAACTAGAACAGGAAAAGCAAAGTGAGGAGAAACAAAAAACTCACAAAAGCCAAATCTTAGTTTCTAATGTTATTCTCCCATTAAAGAACTCAGCAAAATGACTGACTGCAGGAATATGGCACACAAGATGAACATGGAATATCTTCTAGGGCCAGAAAATAAGAAAGTACTCAAACAGAACAAATCAAAATGGAATGGAGCCAAATGAAACAATTTCCAATGGCTAAAACTGAAATAACTTGGGCAACAATAAAAGTCATATTGATTATAATTCTTTTTTTTTTTTTTTTTTTGGTACCAGGAATCAAATTCAGGACCTCACGCTTGCTAGGCAGGCACTGTTCCACTCAGCTATATCCCCGGCCCCTGGATTATAATTCTAAGTAAATCCCAGCATTTAGGAGGCTGAGGCAGGAGGATCACCCTGAGTACAAGGCCAGCCTCAGCTACATGGTGAATTCAAGGATGGTCTGAACTACATGGTGAGAGCCTATTTCAACAAAAAAAAAAGTAAAATAAACATAAATGAGTCCACACTAATAGAAATGATAAATGAATAGGGGTGAACAGACAAACCTCCCATACCATAGATCTCCAAATAACTAAGAAGACACTCTCCCCTCAAAGTGATGGAGCATAACTGTCTACTCCTAAGTGTGGCTGTGCACAACTTCCTTTCACAGAGCAGAATATGAAAGGGTTCGGGGAGGAAAACCTGACTGACATACCCCAGTCACATGACCACGGTCAGGACCAACAGTCAAAATCATGTGGCGAGCATGGACCCGTGACAGGATGTAATGAAAACGGGACTCTATCTCTATGTTCTTCCTCTCAAAACCCGCGGTTCAAACTCCTACCCATCTGGCAAATTTCCTGGTTACTTTAAAACAAACTATTCAGCAGTTTTTTCCTTTAAACTTCTTCACTGATGGATGTGTATATAAACACAGTAAAGTGCTAATGTCATGAAGAACACTTTTCTACCATTTTTTTCTAAAGAATCTAAATATCAAATTTAAATTCTTACCCTCTTCTCTGGGCATCAACCCATGCCTGGTCTCTGTTATCTTTTTCAGGATCATACAGTAATTCATCATTTGTTGGAATCCTGCGCTGTCTCTTCTTCTTCTTGGTTACCTGTGCTAATTTTAAAAAGGGTGAGGCCATGTCTCGGTACCATCTAAAGTTCACAGTTCTTTAATATAAAAAGAATCTCATTTCCCCAGGTATATATTTATCCTATTATCCAAAAAAAAATGTAAAGCCATTCTTTTAAAAACAAAGCCAAAATAGTGAGTTCACCTGGCCTGGCCTACGAAACCCTATCTCAAAAATAAATAAATAAATACATACATACATACATACATACATACGTACATACATACATACGAAGCCAGGTACACTGGCTCATACCTATAATCCCAGCTACTCAGAAGGCTGAGGTAGGAAGATTGTAAGTTTAAGGCCAACCTAGGCAACTTAACAAGATCCTGTCTCCATCTAAAAAGGGGGTCTAGGGTGGCATATGCCTGTAATCCCAGCACATAAGAGGCTAAGGCAAGAGGACTGCCATGAGTTCAAGGCCAGCATGAACTACATAGTGAGACCTTGTCTCCAAAAAAAGAAAAGAAAAAAGAGGGACTTGAGAGTACAGCTTAGTTTAAAGGCCTTGGGTTCAACTCTCAGTACCACAAAAAAAAAAAAAAAAAGACAAAACAGATAAAAGCTGCTTCTTCACATAAACCAGAATCTCAAGAATGAGCTCAAATCATAATTAAGTCTCAAAAAGCCTATTAAACAAAAACCAGAAATTTTATTGATGTATAACTTCTCTAAAAGTTCCCATCTAGAAAATACCACTGAAATCAGAACAAAAATAGCTTTGAAAAACCAAGTGTTGGGGTGTTTGCCCATAATCCCAGCTACCCAGAAAGATGAGGCAGAAGGACCACAAGGTTCAAACCCACTTTGGGCAATTTGGTGAGATTCTGACTGAAATAAATTGAACATTTTTTTTTTTTTTTTTTTGGTACCAGGAATCAAACTCAGGACCTTACATTTGCCAGGCAGGTACTTAATAAATTTAACATTTAATCTGCAAATTCTTTCCCACATTGTTTGTGATTTAGCTCCTTATAAACATCTGTCAAGCTGGGTGTGGTGGCGGTGGGGTGGGGTGGTATAATCCCAGCACTCAGGAGGCTGTGGCAGATCTTACAAAGTGAGCTCAAGGCCAGCCTGAACTGCATAGCGAGACCCTGTCTCAAAAAGACTAAATAAATAAACAAACATCTGTCAAATGGGACACTGATAGGGCAAGAGAAACTCCATTTTTCTGGTTTTAACTTCATAGTAAAAAGAGGTCACTTACAGTTCATTTAAGCTGTAGCTGACACTCCTATACCCCAGTCCCCTTATCAACTTGCTTAAAAGCAGAGCAAGGCCATAAACTGGGAACAGAACAAACAGAGCAAATTGGGAAGTAAGTTGAAAGTTAACCCACTATGGTCATTGGAATTTGGCTGTCTGACCTCCTGGGAGAAAGGAAAACTTTGTGCTCATTGTGAGACATTCTTGTGAGATTCCTGAAAATGAAGTAACGGCTACTATGGGAACCTGAAATGTACTAAAACTGAAGGTGAGACCCAGAGCAGCAAGGACATCTTCTCTGATTCCAGGTTAGGGAAGATCCATCAGCGGGCTCCAATAAAGCTTTGTGCATTCATGTTTTTCTCAGTGTTCTTGTGAGTGTCTTTCTTGATGGACGCGCTTGCCGTATCAACACAAGCACTCTCCAGCACAGTAGCCACTGGCCAAATGTGGTCACTGCGCACCTGCGACGTGGTGAGTTTGAACCCAGCCATGTGTCACATGTGAAATGCGCACTAGAGGGCTGAAGTCAGACTGCAATGGTAGAGAGCTTGTCTAGCATGCACAAGACTCTGGGTTTAATCCCCAAGTCCAGGAAGGGAATAAAGAAAGTTGGAGACATAGCACAGTGGTACAGGGATTGCCTAGCATGCACAAGGCCCTGGGTTCAACCACAGAAGGGGAAAGGAGACAGACAGAAGCTCCCAGTTTCTCCTATCAATCAATTCTGGTTTTGTGTTCACATCAACGGCCTACAATTTCTTAAAAGAGAAAATTGAGGAGGAACGCCTAATATCTAGTAATTGTGAGGCAGAATTTTTTTCATAAAATATAACTGCTAAGCTGGACATGGTGACACATGCCTGCAATCCCAGCACTTGGGAGCTCACTGCGCTACATAGTGAGTTCAAGGCCAGCCTGAACTACATACCAAGACCCTGTCACAAAAAAAAATATATATATATAAATACATATAAAATACATATATGTGTATGCATGCACTAAACCTCATAAACACACTACTTACCTGCTTTGTCTTCATCCTCGGAATCAGAATCAAAATATACATCATCGTAGTACTTTGCTGGAGCTATTCCAACTTTTTCATTTCCTGAGGAAGACCCTATTCAAACCAAAAGGGAAGTTTACAGACTAAAGCACACACAATTAGCAGGAAATAGAAACCCTCCATATACTCTTCCATCACTTTTAGAGTAATAACAACTATTCCCATTTAGATGGAGAAGTATTTTCACATCAGTGACTTACCCAACTTTCATGCCCTATGTAATTAGAGAACTACCCTTCCTCAATTAATTGTTCTAAATCAGGAGAGAATTCTTTCCTCCTTCTTGTAAACCTAATTAAGTAAAAAACATGTTTTTGCCAGGAGTGGTGGTGCATGCCTGTAGTCCCAGCACTCAGGAGGCTGAGGCAGGAGGGGTGAGTTCAAGGACCACCTGGGCTACAAAGTGAGTTCAAGGCCAGCCTGAACTGCAGTGTGAAACCCTGTCTGAAAAAGGCAAAAAAAAAAAGAAATGTTTTTAGTTGCTGGCACGCATATATCTATTTTCAGCCACACAGTACATTGTGGAAAATGGATTAAACACTTTGTGTGGTTTTTTGTCTGCTTTTTATTTGGTTTGGTTTTTTTGAGACAGTCTCACTATGTAGCTCAAGCTGGCCTTGAACTCACTATGTAGTTTAGGCTGACTTCAACTCAAAGTGATCCTCCAGCCTCAGCCTCCCGAGTGCTGTATTACAGGTGTATGCCACCATGCCTTGGCCAACACCTTGTTGTAAGGGACCTTCTAGGAAAAAGGCTAAGACATTTACAAGATGATAAGGGGGATGAGTCAGGCCATCCTTTTCCTACCTTTACCTGTATCCAGTGTAGGCCTTCACCTATACTCGTATCATGCCTGTGTCCCTACTTCTCCCTCTGAATACCACCTGTTTTAGTATTGTTATTACACATATTCAGATCTTGACAGTTAATACACAGCAAAGCAGAACCAGTGCTGAGGAGTCTGACTTTTCACAAATAGTGTTGGGTTATGTACATTTTACATAAAGACCAAGTGTCAAAATGAAATGTTTCATTACTTGCTAACATGAGATAAGAATTTGCATCATTAAACCTGCCATCAGTACCATCTATCACTGAAAATACTTTTATGAGCTTATGTCCTTTTTTTAACCCTGAAGTAAAAACTACAAAAGGAAATTATGCAAGTAACACTGGACATGGTGGCACATGCCCGTAATCCCAGCACTCAGGAAGCTGAGGCAGGAGAATTGCCATGAGTTTAAGGCCAGCCTGGACTACAAAGTGAAACTCTCTCTCAAAAAACAAAAAAATCAAAGAAATTATGCAAAGTTAACAACACTAACTAGCCTCCCACCAACAACACATGGTATTTCCCCACGGTCATCAAAGAAAACTCTAGTTCAGTTGCCAAACACATTTATTCCTTTACTAACAAGTATTTCTTGAGCACCTTAGAAAGTGCTAGAAAAACAAAGAGCAAAAATAAGGTTTTTGCCCTTTAAGGAGCTTACAATATATATGAAAACTGAACGAAAAGGGTACCTTTTCCAAGAGAAGAGAGCTTGTCCTCCATTGTTTTTATGGTGGAATTTAACTCAGCTTCCATTTCTTTTTCAAATTCATCTTCACTAGAGGACTCACTTTCTCCAGTAAGACACTCTCTTATGAGTTTTTGTTTCTGGTCAGGGGTTCCATGTAAAAGCACATCCACTTCATCTTCAGAGCTACCGAACATTTAAATCACAAAAAGTATTAATATTCATAGTGCCTGTCTGGCAAGCGCAAGGTTCCCAGTTCAATTCCTGGTACTAAAAAACAAACAAAAAAGAATATTAATATTAAAAAGTGCAGCAGGGCCTGGTGGTGCACACCTGTAATCCCAGCACTTGGGAGGCTGAGGCAGGAGAATCACCATGAGTTTGAGCCAGCCTGCATTATACTGCAAGACCCTGAATCAAAAAGAAAAAAAAAAAAAAAACTAGATAAAGCCCCTTTTGCAACCAAGAATTCACTCTCCAACGTGAGTTTTGATACATATAAGAAGAGCGTATGGACCAGGCACAGTGTTCATGCCCATGATCCTGGCACTCCTGAGGCTGAGGCAGGAGAAACAAGAGTTTGAGTCCTAGCTGAACTACATGCTAAAGCCCAGCCTCCAAAAATAGAAACAAAAAATTGATAGCTAATACAGACTAAAGTGATGAGGGTGTTGATCACCATTAAGGTTGATTCCAAGACTAAACAGTTAATAGCTAGAAAGCACAGGACACAAGCAAACCTTAGCTCTATTACTTGAGTACTCCAAGTTTCATGCTGTGACACATAAAGACTTCTTTTATTTCCCTCTTCCTTACAGGCCCATCTAGAACGTGAGGTCTACAGTTGAAGATAGTCTTACTGCGTGTGAGTGTTTGGATCATGTTTGTTTAAATGCAGTAGTAAGTAGGATATGATCAGATTAAACCTTCCACAGGTTTTAATAAAAAACTAATTAACTGGGCATGGTGTTATACCCCTGTAATGCCAGCTCCTCGGAAGGCTGAGACAAAAGGATCAGAGGTTTGAAGCCAGCCTGGACAATTTAGTAAGGCTTTGTCTCAAAACTTTCTTTTTTTAATTTTTTTCAAAACTTTTAAAAGGTGGAGTTAAGGATGTAGTTCAATGCTAGAGGGCTTGCTTGCCTAGCATGCACAGGGGGCCCTGGGTTCAATCTCCAGCATGCAAAAAAAAAAAAAAAAAAAAAGACTTAGAATTCCCATGATCTACTGTTCAACAATGTTAAGCTCTACAAAATTGCATTTGATATACCTATCATATTATATATAGGAATTCTTAATAAATTGACTAACTCTGCGTATTTCCAAATATATGTAAACACACATTTACGTACTTAAGAGTTTTACTATGCACCCAAGCTGATCTTAAACTCATGGGCTCAAGAGATGCTCCTGTGGCAGTCCTCCAAGTAGCTGAAACTACAGGCATTTAGCACCATGTATACATGTTTGTTGTTAGGCACAACTACTGAAGAGCAGCAAAAGGGACCCCTGTACTGGTATCATGTTCTGTATTTTGACTACTAATGTCCTTTGTGTTTTGTTTTTTGAGACAGGATCTCAATACATAGTTCAGCCTGGATTTAAACTAGGTAGCCCAGGCTGGCTTCAAACTCGCAGCATCCTCCTGCCTCACGCAGCCTCCTGAGTGCTGGGACTACAGGCATATGGCACTAAGGTCAGCTAATGTCCATATTCTGGCTAGGATATTGCACTATGGTTTTCTAGTATGTTAATATTTGGTGGAACCAGGTAAAGGGTACAATAGAGTATTATTTCTTACAACCGGATGTGAACCTTCAATTATTCCAAAATAAAGTTTTAAAAAGTTGAATCATACAGTAAGAGAAGTACTCTTTTTGCAAGCCTTCTGCAACTCTGACAATTACTTCCGAGACAAGCTCAACCTCTAGCTCTGCGGGAAGAGGCAGAACTTGAAGAGCCCTGCACATTCCGGTTGAGTATGCCAAAAATGCAAAGTTCTAACCATGTCACCCAGGCCTCTTCTTAGTGCTATGTTTGCAATGAGCAAACTCGAAGAATGCAAGAACGTCTCCTTCCAGGACAGAGTAGCTTACTCTTATTCACTGCTTGCTATGAAAAAGGTGGATTTTTTTTTTTTAAAGGTGGATTTTCTAAGCTCAAGTGTTCTTTAGCCACATGTCAACTCACTACTGAAAGCGCAGCACTCACCTAGGACCCCTGGCACAACCTCTCTCAGGTCAAGAACCCAGAGCAACCACATGATGCTTGCTGTACCCTAGATGCCTCGCGGCTTCTGCCAGCTTCCATCACATAATAGCAGGCTCTGATGTTGCGGTTTGTGTCTGGATGCCCCCCAAAGTCTCATTCGGTCAAAGGTTTTTTTGGAGGTGGCTGAATCTAGAGTGTGACTGATTCATAGTGCAATACTGGCATTAAGTGTGCTGGAATTAAGGGTGGTGATTGCTAGAGCAGTCCACTGACTGGATTGGCACCGCCCTAATCCTGGTAGACCGGATACAATGTAAGGGACAGAAAGAGGCTGTCTCCCTCTCCCTTGTCACTTTTGCTGTCTTCCGCAGCACCTTTGCCGCGTGTCACCTTGCCTTGGAGCCAGCCAATTATGGACTGAAACCTCTCCAAACTACAAGCTAAATAAACCTTTCCTCCCTTAACTTTGGGCACTGGGTATTTTGTCTCAGCAACAAAAAAAAGAAAGCAGATGTATTAATCAATACAATCAAATCCCAATCGATAGACACTTCTCAAATACCAATTCCTTTTTTTTTTCTTTTGAGCCTGAGTCTTACTACATTGCCCAAACTGACCTTAAACTTGGAATTCTCCATTCTCAGCCTCCTAGGATTCTATATTTTCTCTATTTACAGTAACAAATATTGCGGTCAGAACCTTCAGCAGGCATGCTAACAACACTGTTTTGTTTTCAAAATCAGCAGGCATCCTGTTTATCAACACCATTTTATTTTCAAAGCATTTTTCTTTATTTTTGTTTTCAAAGTATTTTAACACCATGGCAACTATCATAGAATTTATAAAACGTCCTTAAAAAATGTAATTACAAAAACGAAATATTAAATTAATATCAAGGTGTAATGCAGATGCTAATAGTAGAATAACTCAAATCCTGGAAACATTGCTACAGTATATTTCAGTCAAACTGAATTACTGAGGCCTTTACTATGTCCTTTCACAGACAGGGCTCTTTAACTGAAATATTTTCACAGGGAATTTTTTGTTTTGAGACAAGGTCTCATTACGTAGTTCATGCTGGCCTGGACTCACTATGCAGTCCACGCTGGTTTGAACTTTTTTTCTTTTTCTTTTTGAGACAGGGTCTAGCTATACAGTTCAGACTAGCCTTAAGCTCACTCTGTAGCTCAGGCTGGTCTCTAACTCGAGATGATCCTCCTGCCTCAGCCTCCCGAGTGCTGGGATTATAGGTGTATGCCACCTGTAATGAGCTAAGAGTAGAGAGGAGTTACAGACAAAAACCGGGGTGAGGGCTGAAGACTTTGGAGAAAGGGGCCAGGGAAAGTCTCCTCGCTCCTGTTTCTCTCTGCCAGCTGATCAACAACACAAGAGAACCGAAGCAGGAAGGCGGTCTCAGTCCCCTTTGGCCTTATTTCCTGGTTTGAACTCTTGGTGATCCTCCTGCCTCAGCCTCGAGTACTGGGATTACAGGCATTCACCACCACACCCAGCATTTTCTCAGGGAATTCTAATATCCACCTTCACTCTTTACAACACAAATCTTCACACCACTGTGATCTTCCATGCCTACACCCTTCCCCCAGAATAATCAGGAAACACTGCGACTGAATAAAGCACAGCTTTACAGAAAGCGTCATCGGACAGAATTAATGTTTTAAAGTTTATGGACGGAGGCTGAGGCAGGAGGATCGCTGCGAGTTCGAGGCCAGCCTCGGCTACATAAGCGAGTTCAAGGCCAGCGTGCACTACGCGGTGAGACCCTGTCTCAAAATAAACTAAAAATAAAGTTTATGGATGGGACCTAAGGCTGCTAAGGAAGTAGCTAAATGTGCAAGAGAACTGCAAGTTTCCTTCAGGTAAGGACAAATCTTCCGTACTGGAAATCTCCAGGGAACTTCCCGTGCCTTTGTCCGGCCACCATCTTCCACAATTCTCTTCCAAGATACAACTTTGGCCTTATTTCCCCTATTCTAACATAAGCCTGTGAAAGCCAAAGATCTTACGATTTGCCTCTGCAACCCAAGGCAAACAGACAGTAGTCAAGAACCCCTGTCCAAAAGCCCCTTATCTCTGGCTGACAGTGTCGTCTTCCGGGTGCGCACACCGGCGGCTGGGGCTGTAACTCGGGGGCAGGGAGCTTGCCAGGCAGGTGCGCGGCCCTGGGGGTCGAGTGCAGCCCCGCCCACACGGAAATGACGTCACACTACGCTCTGCGGCCATCACAATAAACCTGTGGGACGTCCCCACCCTGACGTCCCACTTCGCCGCCCAGACGCCGAGGGCAGGGCCGCGCTTTCGGTCACGCTGCCAGCACGCCGCAGAGGCGAGTCCACCTCCAGGCCCTGGAGATTCAGGAGTGGCCCCCGCGACTCCAGGACAGCCCTCTCTCCCGCGCTCCCGCAGGGCTGCGGGACCCCCCCAGGACCCCTCTCGGTCTCCCACGGGCGGCAGTGGGGCGCGACAGACGCCCGAACCGCGGCCGGCACAGCGAGAGGCGGCCGCAGGCCAGGTCTCCGCACGAAGCCGCGGGGCCGGGGCGGGCACACCTGCTCAAAGCTGGCTCCTCGTCGCTAGGCTCTTCAACCGCATAGGGGTCGTAGTCATCCTGCAGCCGGCTCATGGCGTCGGGAAGGGACTTCCACAAACTCACGCACCTCAGCGTTTCTGTTTACGCTGCAGGTACCGCCCCTAACACGACTCCGCGTCACTTCCGTCCGCACTTCCGGTTCCTCCCGGTGCGCCTGCGCAGACTGTCCCCGCGCGAGAGCGGACGGGGGAGGAGACGGGTACAAGGGGCTGGGCGAGGCGCGGGGAGAAGGGAGAGGGGCGGAGCGCTTCCCAGCCCCACAAGTGCTTTTCGCGGCTTTGCTTTCGTGAAAACCTTATTAAACAAGAATAATGTTACCTTCCTAAGTGGCAGTCTGTGAGATGGGCACTACGTTCAGTGTCTCCTGTGACCTACGAAGCAGAACTCTAGATACTGCTCTAGATGTAGTCTGAAACCCGTTCGATCCCCAGACCCCGCATCCGGTGCCTCCTGCTCGAGACCCCGCTTTTTTATTCATTTTGAGACAACAGAGTCTCGGTAGTTATCTAGGCTGCGCTTGAATTTGTGGACGTCTGGCCTCAGCCTCCTGAGCAGCTGGGATTACAGGATTACACTATGCCCGGCTCCTCAGCCCTCTTTCTTTTTGTCCTGTCTGCCAGAAGTTGCCTTCTCTTGGCCTCTTCTCAGTCCCTTGCTCAGCCCTCACTTCATCCTACTTGAATGTCGTGTAAAACTATGAGCAAACCATGCTTAACTCTCGCTAACCTGTCATTTGTCACAGTGGTGCCAGCCCTGACCTTTCATGGTGGACAGGAAGGGAACTACCCCTCCCAACCCTACGGGCTCTCCTTCGAGTCACAGGGGAAGATGCCTATTGAGGAACTTGTTTCTATCTTCTGGGAATTGTGGCCTACCTCAGGGATAGGCCCTTATATCCGTGTTCATACTGCTCTGCGAACTTTAAGCCAATTACCTTCTTAGTCCCACGAATATAAAACCAAGAAATTCTAAGGAGCTGGCAGTGTACTAGGCCCTGTACCAACCAAGCGCACTGGAGGACTGAGACCGCCTTCCTGCTTCGGTTCTCTGTGTTGTTGAGCAGCTGGCAGAGAGAAACAGGAGCGAGGAGACTTCCCCTGGCCCCTTTCTCCAAAGTCTTCAGCCCTCAACCCCGGTTTTTGTCTGTAACTCCTCTCTACTCTTAGCTCATTCCACCCTCCCTTCTACTCCATACTGCTTGTTTGTTTACTTTTTCTCCCTGTTCCATTTCACTGTTGTGCCACAAAAAGCACTACCTCCAAAATTTAAGGACTTTGAAATTTGTTATGATCATAAATCTGCAATTTTGGCAGAGACTTCTCTGCTCCCTGATGTGCGGAGTCTAAACTGGAGACTGAAACTCATGTCAGACATATTTCTCTGCAAAGCCTTGGGCTTCCTCCTAGCATGGCAGCCACGTGCGCAGAGGAACCAGGCTTCTGAATGCTCCCTCGGCCTCCCTACAATGGGCAGGTGCTTCTCAAGGCCAGATGCAGGGTGCAAGGCTTCCTCTGGCCTGGCTGCCCAGGCTCCTCGACACTGCCAGCCAAGGTAGTCACTTAGGCCAACCCAGATTCAAAGGAAGGGAATTCTACTATTCCTCACTTAGGTGTCTTACTCTGGCCCATTTACTGAGTGTCTCAGAAAGCTGCTAGGTTTTTTTTTGGGGGGGCGGGGGGCGGTGTTTGGTTTTTTTCCAGTACCAGGAATCAAACTCACGACTTTGTGCTTGCCAAGCAGGCGCTGTGCCACTGAGCTAAATCCCCAGCCCTGAAAGCTGCTAGATTTGAGTGGGGCCCAGACCAAGAACAGGCTCTGCAACAGGTCCAGGCTGCTGTGCAGGCTGCTCTGCCCCTGGGGCCATATGATCCAGCAGATCCCACGGTGCTTAAAGTGTCAGTGGTAGATAAAGATGCTGTTTGGAGTGTCTGGCAGGCCCACATAGGTGAATTGTAGCGGAGGCCTTTAGGATTTTGGAGCAAGGCTCCGCCATCATCTGCAGACAACTACACTCCCTTTGAAAAACAGCTCTTGGCCTGCGACTGGGCCCTAGTGGAAACTGAATGCATGACCATGGGACATCAGGTCACCATGAAACCTGAGTTGCCTATCATGGCCTGGGTATTGTCTGATCCACCAGGTTATAAGGTTGGACATGCACAGCAACAGTCTATCATTAAATGGAAATGGTATATTCTTGAATGAGCCAGAGCAGGTCCACAGGGTACCGGTAAATTACATGAGGAATTTGCCCAGATGCCTATGGCTCCTATGCCTACTGTACTGCCTTCTGTTTCCCAGCATGCACCTGTGGCCTTGTGGGATGTACCATATGATCAGCTGTCAGAGGAAGAGGAGGCTAGGGCCTGGTTCACGGATGGCTCTGCACGCTATGCAGGCACCACCCACAAATGGACAGCTGCAGCATTGCAGCTCCTTTCTGGGACATCCCTGAAGGACAGTGGTAAAGGGAAATCATCACAGTGGGCAGAACTTCGGGCAGTGCACTTGGCAATACACTTTGCCTGGCCAGAGAAATGGCCGGGTGTGCGACTATAAACTGATTCATGGGCCGTAGCCAATGGTCTGGCTGGATGGTCAGGAACGTGGAAAGAACATAACTGGAAAATTGGTGACAAAGACATTTGGGGAAGAGGTATGTGGGTTGACTTCTCCATGTGGGCAGAGGATGTAAAAATATTTGTTTCCCATGTAAATGCTCACCAAAAGGTGACATCAGCAGAAGAGGACTTTAATAATCAAGTGGATAAGATGACCCGGTCTGTGGATAGTGGCCAACCTCCTTCTTCAGCCACCCCGTCATTGCCCAGAGGGCCCATGAACAGAGTGGCCATGGTGGCAGGGATGGAGGTTATGCAAGGGCTCAGCAACATGGACTTCCCCTCACCAAGGCTGATCTGGCCACAGCCACTGCTGAATGCCCGACATGCCAGCAGCAGAGACCAGCACTGAGTCCCCAGTACGGCACCATTCCCCGTGGTGATCAACCTGTGACCTGGCAGCAGGTTGATTATATTGGACCGCTTCCATCATGGAAGGGAATACGCTTTGTCCTCACTGGCATAGACACGTATTCTGGATATGGATTTGCCTTTGTTGCACGTACTGCTTCTGCCAAAACTACCATCCGTGGACTTACAGAATGCCTTATCCACCATCATGGGTTCCACATAGCATTGCCTCTGACCAAGGAACACATTTTACAGCCAAAGAAGTGAGAAAATGGGCTCATGCTCGTGGAATTCACTGGTCTTACCATGTTCCTCGCCACCCAGAAGCGGCTGGATTGGTAGAAAGGTGGAATGGTCTTTTGAAGACACAGTTAAGGTGCCAGCTAGGTGGCGATAGCTTATAGGGCTGGGGTAAGGCACTTCAAAAGGCTGTATATGCTTTCAGTCAGCGCCCACTATATGGCACTGTGTCTCCCATTGCCAGGATTCATGGGTCCAGGACTCAAGGGGTGGAAGTAGGGATGGTACCACTCACCATTACTCCTAGTGACCCCTTAGCAAAATTTCTGCTTCCTGTTCCCACAACCTTATGTTCTGCTGGCTTAGACGTCTTAGTTCCAGAGTGGGGAAGGCTTGTACCAGGAAGCACAACAATGATACCATTGAACTGGAAGCTAAGATTTCCCCCTGGTCATTTTGGTCTCATGCCTCTGAGGAAACAAGATGAAAAGGGAGTCACAGTGTTGTCAGGGGTGACTGACCCAGATTATCGTGGGGAAATTGGACTACTACTCCACAATGGGGAAAGGAAGAATATATGTGTAGTGCAGGAGGATCCCTTAGGGTGCCTCTTAGTGTTACCATGCCCCGTTATTAAAATCAATGGGAAACTGCAACAATCTCATATAAGCACAATGACAGATGGCCCAGAGCCTTCAGGAATGAAGGTATGGGTCACTCCACCAGGGAAGTGAACCAAGGCCTGCTGAGGTGCTTGCTGAAGGCCAAGAGAACACAGAATGGGTAGGAAAAGAAGGGAGTTGTAAATATGAGCTACGACCCCGTAATCAGCCACAGAAAAGAGGATTGTAATTGTACTATTTCTCCCCTAATATGGTTCTAATGTAATATAATATTGATAGACTTAATACTGGTCCTTAAGGATTGTTAAACTGTGTTATAATGTTCAAGCTGTGAAATGATAACAATAAGCATCACCCAAGGAAAACTTACCCTCTATTTTGGTGAGGGAATTAGTGCATTTACATTTGTGTATAGGATAGTTATAACATATTAGGTGTAATTATAAGCATGTCTTTGTATCTGGAAACTGGTTTAAAGAAATGTGTCTGGTTGCCAAGTTGAAAGGGGTGGATTGTTATGGTTGATACATTGTGTCAACTTGGGGAGTCTAGAGGTTTAGCTAAGTGGCTCAGCAGGGTGCTTACTTTGTATTCATCCTGAGCCTGCGCAAGAGGAAGGCATGCAGAGAGTGTGGGTGCAGAGGACCACCCCCACACCCTCAGGGCCTATAGGCTGCATTAAAAAAGGGAATTGTGAAAGGACTGGCTTCTGGTTCTTGGGAGGCACTCCAACCTTCAGCTTGGTCATCTGGCTTCAGGTGCAGACTGTTCAGCTTCCACCTGGGACTCTTCAGCCTTCTGGTGTCGGCTCTGGGACCTTTGTCATAGAGCGTGCAGACACCCTCTGCACACCTCCTCATCCAACTCTGTGGCTGACCACTGTAAGCCAAACTTGTAATTTCTTGTACATTTGTATGTCTTGTGTTATATTTGTTTCTCTAGTAAACCCTGAGTGATACACTGAAAGAGAGGAGGTTGAAAAGTTTTCAGTTTACTGTCAAAAGAGAGGCCTGGGATATAGCTTAGCAGCACAAGTAGCTGCCTGGCAAGCAAAGGGTCCTGAGTTAATCCCAGCTACCTAAAAAGCAAAACCAAAACACTGTCAAAAATAGTTGTGGCTGGGCGAGGTGGTACATACCCACAATCCCAGCATGCAGGAGGCGAAGACAGTTGGATCCTGAGTTTGTGTGACAGGGCTACCTAGCAAAGAGAAGAAAAAGAATTGTGGATGACTCAGATTACAAAGAATATTTCAGGTTTGTGGGTTGACTATAAAACAATAGTGTATTTACAAATTTTTCAAGCGTTTTAA